ATGTTCGTGTGTATATGTATATGTATATATATAAAGGTATATATGTATATATGTTTGTGTTTGGTTGTGTGGGTGTTGGTTTGTGTTCATGTACAGATGTATGTGAATAAATTTATATATTTATATATTGATATATATATATGTATATATATATATATGTACATATATATATATATATATACGTATATATACGTCTTATTTTAAGTATATATATACAGATAGATCCATAGATAGATAGATAGATATTTGTGGGAGTATACATGTAAATGTATATATGGATGAATGTACATATGTATGTGTGTATGTATGTTTATATATATATATATATATATATATGTATATATATATGTGTATATTTATATATATATATATATATATCCTTCCATAAACACACACATATATTTATGTGTGTGTGAGTGTGACTATGTATGAATGTATATATGTATGTGCGTATGTATATGTATATATATATATATATATATGTATATGTATATATATATATATATTTGTATGTGTGCGTGTGTATGTATATGTATATGTGAACAAACATACGCATGAATTACGCATAAGTTTTTAATATATATATGTTCATACACATATCACTCTATACGCATATCGAGTCGTATTCCTTAATTGGCAGTCATATTACGCTGGTCGGTCACAATGAACAGTTGATTGGATTAAAATTCAGTTCACGGCCACTGTACTTCCTACCTCTAATTGTCTAGCGCGACTATACGTCCTATAGACTTGGTTGCCCACAAGTGAATTTGGCTGAATTTTTCTCCCACAGTCCAATTTTTGAATGAATTTTGATCCGATTTTTGGACTAGTTGTACTAAACTCTAGTGATCTGTCTATCTGACGCAGGCAAATACTGTCTGTCGATCAATAAATCGGGTCGGGTCTGGCACTGCCGCATACACTGCAATAACAATGGGGAATATTTCCTCAACAACTCGCACTCCTTCGCAACCGTGGAGACTCTCATCACTTATTACATAACCAGGTATATGTATGTGTATATGTACGTGTACATATACGTGTAGGTGTATGTGTATGTATATCCGGAACGTCTAGTAGATGTATCTACACTAGGTCGGTTGCATGGCATGGGTTAATGATGTTATAGGACACTTCCGTTGGTACCCGTTTCGTTCATTCTGTGGGTCGTACACCTTTCCGACGTCTGTGTCCGAATTTGTGAGATAATTAAACCAGGTCAACTGCTGGTGATACCAACGCCGTTAGTATAGTTACTCGTACTGGCCTATATTCGTGTGCGCGCCCGTGTTTGGTCACAGGTCGTCTGTGTGGGCCGGTATAGTGTGGGTGCCAATTGTGGAGGTAGTCAGTCGCTCATATTTAAGACGTTGTGTCCCACTGTTGACTGTGTGCCCTGTGCACCTGTCCCGAGTGGGGGTCGAGACTTGACTGCCAACTTTTTGGGATCAATCGATTGATAGGTCTCTCTACATGTCTACGTACCATACATACCTACGTTTAGTCCCTCACACCCGTGCCCCAGCCCTGCCAACAGACCCACGGCACAGTACAAGCAAGGGCGTGTGAGTTCTATAAATAGCTGAGCGTGTCCCGTATCCCGTACCCGGCTGGTGTACTAATTGATCCCTCCCGCATCCTTACACCCACGCCCACAGCTATTGCCTGAGAAGTTCATCGGGCATGGTCGTCAACCTGACCCACCCCGTCGCTCGACCTGGTCACGGCCACAACACGTTACAGGCCACTACATCAGCCAGTTCTATTTATAGCGCCGGCAGATTCTCCAACTCCTCACAGCCGCGCGGAGATGCTGTGTCGCGGTCCTCGACGGCCGATCTGGCGCCAGTCCCCTTGCTAGGTAACCATGGCAACGGGCCTTCGAGGGGGAGTAGGTATAGCACCGAGAGCCCCGAGGCGCCGGGGTATATGCGCTCCTCTACCCCACTCGGTACCGCTTTGACAATGCGGGCGAATACCGGGACAACTGCACCTGTGGCTTCGACAACGGGACGGTTCCCGGCGGCCCAAGGAGAAAGTACGTCACCGCCGCCGCTCCGAGCTATGCCTAGGCCCATTCCACGCACGAGGAGAGAGGTGCCTGTGCCCGTGCCTGTCACTGATAGTAGGGAGCCCGACGACGATGATCTGTATGTGAATCAAGCAGACTTGCATAGGACGCAGGAAGATTTGTATGTGAACCAGGCGGAGCTGTATGGGAACGGCATGGGGGGTGGGGCAGTGGGAGGTAGTAGTATGGTGGAGGGTGAAGAAAGGCCCCCTGTTAGGCCCACCCGAACGAAATCGTCGAGTACGTTGAGGCCGACGGAGTTTAAAGGTGCGGGGCGCACCAGGCTTACGAGTGCACACACACAACCGGCACTCTCCCAGACACAGCCACCAACACAGTCACAGTCACAGTCACAACCACAGACGCAAATACCCATTCGGCCTTCCACGCAGCTGATTGCTCACTATAATGCACAACCCCGTACACAAGCTAGTATGACAATGGAGAGGCACGCTGCAGCAGCTGATGCGCCTGCCAACCGCCAGAGATACACTCAAGTCGTAGGTTGTGGGACTGGGGTTGGGGCTGTGCACGGAGAGATGCGCGGATCTGGTTACAGCGACGAGTATGAAACAGATTACTATACGTATGCTATGGTACACACGACTATGGATGGGGGTACGACCCTGGATACGGGTGGAGGTGCCAGTGTAGGTCCGAATGCGGGTGCGAATAGGCCCCCAAGTTTGGGATCGGAGTCATCTGCAAATGCAGTTTCGATAAATGTTGATTCAGTTTCGAGTGCGGGATCGCTTGTACCGGCTCGAGCAAATGCGAGTGTACCGCGGAATACCGGTACGGCTCCTAGATATACCGGGACGAAGACCGGCTCATATACGTCACAGGAGCAAGCACGGGCCGACACATACAGGCGCGGAGATGTATTGGCACCCAATGGAGTACGCCCGGGGCGACCGCAAGAGATCAATGGTGTTCAGTCACATACACAGACAAACTCACAGATACAGCCACAGACACAGACACAGACACAGCCAGAGCAACCTGGGAACGAAGGCTTGCAGACAAAGGCATCGAATTGGCTCACGGCGGCCATCCTGGCTATCATTATGTCCGTAGATACACTTGACCCAGGCAGTCCACACAACACTCCTGGCCAAGTGGCCACTACCAGCAGTCAGGGTGCGAACACAGGGCAAGCAGGTACGAGCACGGGCGACGCGGTTGCCATGGCATCGACGACCAGCGTGGGGGGCAGGCGCCCTCCTCCATCGCCCAGTAGACGACCACGGGTGACCTCCAAATCACCTACCCGCAGCACTTCACCCGTACCTACACCAAGACGCACATCACCCGTACCTACACCACGACAAAGTGTGCCTGTACCCGCAAGCACCGCCAGACCAACCCTCACACCGCCCATGCGGTCATCACGACAACGGATACCTACATCCGGCAACAGGCGCATGACCGCGCTCACGGGTCCGGAAGAGGGACGGGCTGAGGGGGTTGGGGTTAGTTACACTCAGCACACACCGAACCATGCACAGGCCACACATCCACAAGCACCTGCGAGGCAACAGGGACCCCCTGGTGGCCCTGATAGTGGCTGGTATGTAGACACGACGACGGTAGCCCCCTCGGCTACACACACGGCTACGACGGCCACCACTACGACCACCACCACTGTCGCTACCACCACTGTGACCAACAATGAAGTGCACATCACCAGTCAACCGCGGCCGTACATTGTAGGGACGGCCCCGTCTGATTCTGATCTGGTTAGTGTTGGGTCGTATACTGGGGTTAGATCGGGTTCGGGCTCCGGCCCGAATTCCGAGTCAAGTTACATACCACAGCATAGTGATAGTAGTTTGAACTCACGTATGTATACGGAACGGCGGTCACCTTCTCCCACGGGTAGGTATAAGCTATCCCCAGTGCAGGGCCAGGAGAGGAGGGCGGTTAGACCTAGGCAAATGGGGCATAATCAGAGCGGCATGTATGACGAGCTGCAGGATAGGTCACCAACCCGCATGGGCGGTCCGCAACCGGGACAGTCGAATTCGCATGTGGAACAAGAACAACTAGACCAACAACAAAGACCAACACAACAACAACAATCAAACCAACAACAACCATATCACCTACCGACACAGGCCCAGTACCCCCAGCAGCGGCAAGACAAACAGGCCTACACAGCCCCTCAAGGCCGCCAAAGCCACGATCCACAGACCCAACGTGCACGGCCAGTGAGCTCTGTCTCGGGCCAAGGCGAACGTTTTGACGGAATGTTTGAGGTGCGCAGTCTTGTGAGTCCTCCATGTCACACCGCGAGCGATTCCGAGGCGTTGCACGCGCAGGTGGTGGCACAGGGCAGTCCTTTGGCCTATGCGCAGCACGGGGGAGATGCCGTACCACAGGCAGGGCTGACTGGCCGGGGTGTAGGTAGTGGTGGCGGGGCGGTGCAGGGACATGCATCGCAGATGTCGACGCCATACCTTCCGCAGCAACAACAACAACATCATCAGTCACAGCCGTACGAACGACAGTACTCGCCGCGGTCGAATCAACCGATGTATATGCCCGCCGAAGAGCAGCCACGGCAGCAACAACAACAACAGCAGCATTTGCCACAGCACTTTGTGTATCCTGGCCAGGCGCAAGTGACTCAGCCCCAGTCGCCATTGTACACAGAGAGGGGCCGACAAGCCAGTTCACTGACACGGGGACCTGATAGCCAACGGGATATGTACAGGGACATACAGTACGAACCGCAGCAGCAACAGCAACAGCAACAAGGGTATAGCCAGCAGAGACAGTTGGCCGGGCCAGCTGAGCTAAGACCAGGGGGCAATATACCGGCCTATGAGAACCTCTTGGACGATACAGCCGACAGCCCTCCCCTCAGAGCCCCGCCTCCACAGCAACGGACTGGCCAGGCGCACACAGTGAATGCACACACTCCAGATACACACACGCAGGATATGGACACACCCAGTTCAACCAGCACAACTGCCCCGGCTATGCACGGCAAGGACTATAGTCTGACGCCGGCGGAGAAGAACGAGAAGAGGGCCATGGGCGACAACCATCCCAGTCACAGCCATAGTCACAGCCACACTCACAGTGGGTTTAGTAGTGGTAAGAAGAGTGGGAGCGCGAACACATCTCCGATGACAAACCCGTGCGAAAAGGGGAAGCTCAAGCGGTTCATCTCGAAGAAGCTTAGCAATAGCAGTCATAGCAGCATCAAGTCCATCAACAGCCCCAGTCTGCGTAGCGCCCCCGGGTGGAAACCCTCACTCAGCGCGGATAGTAGTATGGAAGGCAGTGATCGCAATCAGAGTATGCACACCCCCGGGTATATCGACTCGGATTCCATGCAGCCGTCCGATGATTCTGTAGGGCCCGGCCACGTGATGACTCATAGCAGTCAACCGATAGAGCCTGTGCAGGAGATGAGTTCTGACCAGCCTGTACACGTGAATTGCCGGGCCCCTATCCCGGGGTACCCGATGCCAACACAGTCGCGAAACGATGAGATGCAGCAGAATGCCACAGATATGTATACACCCGATGGTATGGAGCCTAGTATGGCTTATGCCGAGCCGCACACTGATCGAGTGGTTGCGGCAGGACCGAACTTCCCGCGAAAGACGTCCATTCAGTCGAACACAGTCACCTATAACACTTCTGGTGATTCGTATGCGAGTACGAATACTGGGGTGGAGAACGGGATGGGATACAGCGGGGCCGGTATATACTCAAATGGTAGCCATATAGAAGGGACGAATTCAAATACACACTACCAAACCAGTACTGATAGCAATGGCGAAGTTATGAGTTTGTATGGCAACATTCCTGAAATAGATTTTGGAGCGAGGAGCGAAAATGCTAGAAATGAAATCGACATCCCTGTTGTTAATGCAGAATCGAGTGTGTACATGATCACGAATCCAAATTCAAAATCAAATTCGAATGGCACCTCGAATGTGGCTGCGAGTTCGGAGCCGAAGCCCAAATCAAAGTCTAATGAATACGGCAGTGTGATTCGGAAACCGGTGATGGGCGTACGACACAAGGAGCGTCCCAACACGCAGCACACACCAGACACCGGTAGTCCCGCTTTAAGTCCCGGTATTCAGCAGGGAAATGGGAATGCACCCGCCGAAGCGGCTGGGCGGTATGTGCCGCAGCAGTCCCAGGAAAACGCTTCGCAGGATAGTGAGCAGTCGATAACCAGATCAGCAAATGGGCCCGAGCGTGGGCCCGCTCCATCTCAACCGGACCCTAAGCTGCAGGCTATGCTATACCAACAACAGCAGCAACAGCTACAGCAACAGCACCAGTTGGAGCGAGCCCAGCAGTATCATCCGATGCAACAGACCTCTCAGGAGTATGAGCAGGGATATCAACAGCCACCACCACCAGCCCACCCGCAGAGCTCTAAGGAGAAGAGTGGCGGCGGCTTTCTCAACCGGTTGGGATCCAAGCGGATTGAACGCAGGACCATGACCAAGGAGAAGCTACAGGCGTATCCTATCGCGCATGGTAGCGACCACGTGATGTTGCCCAATACGCAGTCACATCCCTTTCCCACGGGGAATGCGGGTACTCGTGTGGGTGGCCGGGAGGTGATGGGCGGTGGGACGAGTGCGAGTGTGGGTAACTTCGAGAAGAAGTTCGGTACTTATTCAGACAATCGGGGCCATTATGCGAACACGCCATCGCCTACGGATAGGGAGAACAGCTCGCCCAATCAAAATACAGAGGACAAAGACAATGCGGCAATTTCATTCGCGCAGAGCGATATCTCCTTTTCTGCGATTACGCCTCACGGCAGCACTGGGCTAGCCAAGAAGGAGAAGAGCAAGGGCTGGTTCAAGATACGTGGGTTTAAGAAGTCAAACAATCAATAGAAGGGGCGTTACTTACCAGTGATAGATAGAGAAACCTGCGGTGCGTGGCAGCGGATACGAGGTTGTCTGTGTGTGTGTTGTACACACATGCTGGACGACTCATCGCATGAGTACATGTAGCCAACATGGAGTATACCATGGAGTATGACAATGAGTACGGCGCACGCATGCAGCAGGAGAGTGCCGTGATGTGCATATTTGAAGGCTAAACAGGAGCTGAGGTAGACCTGATGAATATAATCTCTTGTGTACCTGTACATACAACCGCGGCTAGAAAAGTACAGGGGATCCAACAATAAATATGGCCAAATATCAATATACATGTACGATGTGCAAGATATGCAAGTTTTGGCTGAACCAATTGCGCCCCACCGTTTGAGTCAGTGAGCGCTGTGCGACCGATTGCTAGGAACTGAGTGTGAGGTGTATTTGACCGATTATTAGGAACTGAGTGTGAGGTGTATTTGACCGATTGTTAGGAACTGAGTGTGAGGTGTATTTGACCGATTGTTAGGAACTGAGTGTGAGGTGCATTCGACCGATTGTTAGGAACTGAGTGTGAGATGTATTCGACCGATTGTTAGGAACTGAGTGTGAGATGTGTTATGGTTAAACCGAAAGGCACTTTGCTCGACGTACAACTAGTAATCGGGAACGTAGTACTGTACCTAGTGTGTATGCGTGTGTATCTTTACTTTGTATATCACAAGGTAATAATAAAAAACATAACAGTGTACCTAGTGTGTATGTGTATGTACCTTTACTTGCATATCACAAGGTAAGCGAAATAACCGGAATAGTGAACCTGGTGCGTGTGTATCTTTACTTTGTATATCACAAGGTATTCGATAGTCGTAATAGTGCACCTGGTGTGTATGTGTCTTTTCTTTTTATAACAATTGAAATAAGCGTAATAATGTGTACCTATAGTGTGTAGGCTTCCTTACTCGGTATATCACGTTGCGTATTCATTTGACATTTAAACTATGTTGTGATCGTATCCCCACATATTTCGTCCTCTAGTAGAACAACTACGAGTTCTGGCAAGTGGTATACACAGAACTATTAAGTTCGATCAACCTTCCTTCTGATTGTACAAATTAAGGCTGTATGAGGCTTTATTGTCAATTGAACTACATCATCACCGACACCACGAGAACGCATACGGTCACCGCAGCCGAAGAGACATAACTTTGTATTGCGCTATTCGACATACTCGTGATCACAATTGGCGAATCACGTACGCCGACCGCCACGGCGTCATAGCCCCGTATTGTCACTATCATACACCGCAGTGAACAACACGCCACTTGTACGCCGACGCTGTGACGATTCAATGACATGTCCCAGCGGGTTGAGCCCAGAGAGCAGCTTTAGGGCCTCCAGCGATGACTGAGAGATGTGCTCGAGACCCAGCTGTACTGCGTAAGGCAGCTGAGCTTGACGTCTTTTGTTCCCAGAAGCGAGTGCACTCCAGAAAGCCTCGCCGAAACGGGCTAACGCGACCGCAACATATACAGTGGCGATGGCGGCCCGATCCGTTGGAGGTGTAAACAAGAATCCGGTGAGCATGCTTTCGCATACGTATTGTCTGCAAGGCTGATCGTCACAGATTTCGGCTTCCATTGCAATGAAAGGCACGTTGGTGGTATCCTGCAAAAGACAGTGGTGGCGGAAATGAGATCTGGAATGTATAGGCATACACCAACACCAAAACTCAAAATGATGAACACAAAGCCATACCATTTTGACCGCGGTAAGGGCCGCGATAACGTGACCTCTGACCCTTTCCATGTACTTCTCAGCTTTGTCCCAGATGCCTCCACAATCGTGTTCTATAACATCGCACGTGTTTTTGGCGAATTTTACTTTAACACCGGTAGTCGCCTGCAAATAAAAGAATTGGGCAAAGTTTGTTCGAGTTGAGAATTTTAGTGGACGAGCGCGAGTGTTTCTGGGAGGCTGAGCTGGTGTTAAAGGGTCTTTGACGATAAGAGTACCTATAGTTCTTACTAAAATCAATACATACGCTATAGTCGATGTATTCCCATCACTTGGCATCGCAAGCAAGACAGGTGAGGCCGGCATTATACTGGAGAACCCTTCTGATGCACTTTTCATATGAGTTCACAGAGTGATCGATCCACGCCACCGTATCCCCTAGTAATGAATTCAGAATGTGTACTAGATCCTCTAGTAAAGTCAGAACTGCTTTGAGCTCCTCCTTTTCGGGGCTATTGGGCATCTGATTGTAAGCATCGCTAATTTTCTTGAGTCCATCATCCAGCTGTGTTGTTATTTGGCTGGATTGGCCGTCAAGAACGAATGTCATATTCCGCATGTCGCCAATAGTACCGAACATCCAGTCCCAGGTCATGGCCAGTTCATCCTGCAGATAATCCATTATGGGCTCGGAACAGCAGGACGAGTGCACATTGCCGCATCTGAATTTGTCCTCGCTTGGTGTGAGTGTAAGAGGTGACTTGTTATAGACCACATCCTTGGCTACAGTGGTGTTGATTCGAAATGCAGGATCTCCGATGAAAACACCAAATAGCGGATTGCACGTGGCATTGTCTGCTGTGACACAATTGGCGAGGGTGGCGAGAGTGAGGATAGCGAAAAAACAACTTGATCTCATTATGTTTAGTCCAGGTTTGTGCCATAAAGACTCACTACACGACTGGAGTACGCTATGCGAATCCATCAACTTAAATAATTCACACAATATCCTGCAGAACCCATACCCTATCCAAAGCAGATGAGATTGTCTGTCTGAAGCAAATTAGGCTCGCGACAATAATACTGGGCGCAATATTCACATATCACGGTCTGTCACGTAAATTCACATTGTGATTCACATATCAAGATTTTAGTGTGCCGTTGCTTTTCTGTTTTGATTGATATCTGTCCTTCTACACCTTTCTCTTCGGAGCGGTTTGTAAGTTCTTGTACATGTCAACAGGCATCACGCGACATACACAGCTCTTCAAAACGTGCCACTGTGGACGGGGTAGTGAACGGGGTCGGGCACGTCTTCAAGAATAGAAATGAAATATATGAATAACAGCCAACATCTCTCTTCAAAACGTGACACTGTGGACGGGGTTGTGCACGGACTCGTGTACGTCTTCAATAACAGAAATGAACACTATATAGATAACAGCCAGCGCGTTACTTGATCAACCCCCACAACGGATCATGTGGCACAATTGTCATTTATATATACCCACTCTTTATTTTACTTTGATTTCAAATAGGATATATTAAATGCTACAGCTTGGGAAAGCCTATACTGTTGGCTTGAAGATCGATCTACCAGACAATACGGCCACAGATTCGGCAAACCATACTTTTGAATCGAAAACATAAACTAACCAGCCAATTTTAAGATTTGAAGCGAATGGACATGTCCGCTTCCAAAACCTGAAAGCGACTTCCACTCATTGTACACTAAAACCCTGAACCCTGAAACCCTGAACCCTGAAACCCTGAACCCTAAAATCGGAGGTCAATTAGAACTCGTCAGACGTCAGGGGCCTTGTCTATGGGACAATCTCAATTGCTGGTATTTATTGCTGGTATTTATGAGAGCTTACAACCTGTCCACAGCACAAATTGGGTACAGTAAAATGTTCAACTAGATAATGGATCCTTTGCATATGTAATTCCCACCAGCATTACGTGGACAGGGCTTTTCATTTCATGGCAAATAGAGATACAAAGCATAGGGGCTCTATGACAGTGTTCCTATTGCTGAGCTGGATGGTAATCCAGAGGAGCTCGCCGGGAGCATTCGATGGGGTAGAATGGCCAAACTATAGCACCTAGGTAAATCCTGAGACGGGGGATGCGGTATATATATATATGTATGGTATGTATGTATGTATGTATGTCCGTATGTATGTATGTATGTATGTATGTATGTATGTATGTATGTATGTATGTATGTATGTATGTATGTATGTATGAAAGTATGTAGGTAGGTAGGTAGGTAGTATGTATGTATGTATGTATGTACGTATATATGTATTTATGTAC